AGTTTGAATTTCGTAAAAACCATTCAACGTCCCATGCTCTAATCCATCTGATGAAAAGAATCTCTTCGGCAATTGACCAGCGTGAAACTACTGTAGGTGTTTTCCTAGATCTCTCCAAAGCTTTTAACACTCTTGATCATCAAATCTTATTCACCAAGTTGGAGCACTGTGGTATCCGTGATGTGGCTCTGCAGTGGAGAAAAAGCTACTTTTCTTGCCGTCAGCAATTCGTCCAGATTAATCAAACTTGTTCCTTAATGCAGACCATTAAAGGTGGAGCTCCTCAGGGATCCATCTTAGGCCCCTTATTCTTCATACTTTACATAAATGATCTTCCTAAAGCCTCTAAGTTAACTGAGCTTCTACTTTTTGCTGAAGACACGAGTATCTTTTTTTCACAGTCTAATCCCAACTACTTAGAGAATGTACTTAACAATGAGTTACTAAATATTGATGTTTGGTTAAGGTGCAATAAGCTCTTAGTTAATATCAAACTAAGACAAATTATGTTAACTTTGGTCCGAGTCAGAGGAAACTCAGTCACAGTTTTTCTCTCTCTTTTGGAGGTCAACCTCTAATTCAAAGCAATGTAACTAAATTTCTTGGGGTGCATGTACCTAGACGAACATCTTACTTGGAAGTATCATATAAACTTTGTCTGTGCAGACTGGCGCTAGCATGGCGAAGGAATCGAGGTCGCGTATTGTTGAGCAGGAGGCAGTGATTGCAATTTTTCATCTTTATACGCCTCTAATGTCTTCCAAAAGGAAAGGCAGATCTAGTGCAGCATCTCAATCTTCTAATCAGTCACCTGAAGAGAAAAGAAGCAAAAATAGTGAAACGGACGAAGTGTTTGAAGCGCTGGAGATGGCGGAGGACGTCGGTCTGAAACTGCAGCGTGTGCTGGATAAATTAGAAAAACTCGATAAGATAGAAGCGCATCTTAGCGAGGTCTCGGCCAGTCTTGCTAGCATCGAGGAGAAAGTATCTCGTTTAGATGAAGATGTACAGTCAAGACCTGAAGCAAAAAACAAACAGGGTGGAAAAGAAAGCGTCCGAATTGGAAGAAAGTGTCCAGTTCAACGAAGACGACATTTCAGACCTAAAGAAAGAGTCAAAGGAGTTAAACTTCGAAATAAATGATCTTGGCAAGCAGTTATTGTATTTAGAAACCTACTCAAGAAGAGAAAATGTTAAATTCTTTGGGATTGACGAAGTAGTGCCGGCGTGTGGAGTTGACTCCCCACCCTAGGATACCAGAGATTTAGTGTTCATTTAGTGTTTTGAAAGAGTCAAGAGGACAAACAATTTTCGGTGTTTGACGATATACCAAAATAACTTTATGAAATAAGGAAAAGTCAGATGAAAAAGTTCAAGGAAGCCAGAGGCAAAGGCCGTACAGTATATTTCAGCAAAGCGCAACCAGATAAGTTATTTGTTAATGCAAATGCTCCATTGACAGACTTTGTTTAGGTAGGAGCACCGCCCTCCACACATTTCCAGAGATAAAAATGTTTATGTAAATATAATACTGTTATCGGAGCTTTTCTTTCACTCTGCTCTCAAATAGTCATGTATTTGCATATAATTTCCTCGTAATCTGTTGTAGGCGTTAAGTACATTCACTTTAATTTAAAACTTTATTTCCGAATCACTGTCTCTAAAGATCAACTAGGCTTTTTGCTGTCGTACGCAAACATGCAATCTTAAACAACTTTACTTAGTTCCATTCCAGAGCGCAGCATTCGAGATAGTTATCTTGCTTCTCTTTTAATTGTTTGTATCAGTATTAAGTGGTTGTACTCTATTGTTTTTATTTTCGTTTTCGTGGTTATTTTCCTTTCATTTTCTGTTATTCAAAGCTATCGCAGCATGTCAATGAAGAATTTCTTTGAGCGTCAGATTGCTGTAAATGTGTTGATAAATTTTTCCACCAAATTAGGTCCTACTTATTCTTGCAATTTGGTGCGTAATAACGAGTTCAATCTTTTGTCTTTAAATGTTCGTGGGATTCGCACTTCTGAAACCCGGAAAGCTGTTTTTAGTTGGCTTGTAAATTCCGATGCCGACATAATTTTCCTGCAAGAAACATACAGCACGCGAGATATTGAAAATATCTGGAGAAAACAATGGAAAGACGAAATGTTCTTCTCGCATGGTAGCAATCATAGCAGAGGTAACTAGAGGTTTTCTAGTATACTGATAAAAGATAATTTAAAAAATACATTCTACCAAGGTAGATTCTCAAGGTCGCTTCATTTTTCTGGATGCTTATATTCAGGATTCGCCTTACTTTCTTTTAAACATTTACGCTCCAAATAAGTGTGGTAAAAAATTTCTCTTTTTCAAAGACGTATCGGATATTCTAAAAGGTGCGAGAGTAGAACAAGATCACCCATTTGTAGTCGATGGGGACTTTAATATCATTCTTGAACACGTTTTAGATAGGCAGGGGGGAATAGTAAAAGGAAAGACTCTGGTAAAATTGTCGAAGACATGCCCGCTGAGCTTGATTCAGTGGATATCTGGCGCATAAGAAACTCAACAGTTACACGTTTTACTTGGCGTCAAAATAAACCAATTATACAAAGGCGCTTAGATTATTGGCTCGTAAGCGATAGTTTACAAGATGACCTAGATTTAGTGGACATAAAAACGTCAATTAAGTCAGACCACCCAGCAATAACGCTCTCTATAAATTGTTTAGATGATCTTGAAAAGGGACCTAAGTTCTGGAAATTTAATTCAAACCTTGTAAATGATTCGGCTTATTGTGAACTTCTAACCACTGAGTATGCCAATTGGCTGGAAGAATTCAAAGAAGTACAAGATAAACGTGTCTTATGGGATTTAATTAAATACAAAATTAGACCGCAAACAATCAGATACAGCAGAACTAAAGCCCGCGAAAGAAGAAAGAAACTACAGAACCTAGAGAACGATTTAAAGGAATGTGCGGAAAAATGCGATTCCGATCCAAATACAAAAAATCTGGAGGTGTCCTCAGAGGGAATATGATAGTATGTATGATTACATCACAGAAGGTGCGATCATTCGTTCGCGGGCAACTTGATGTTGGAGATAATTTCCTTCTAGTTTAAAATCATATTTTGTTGCTTGGGAAGTACTATATTTAGTTACAAAAATGTCAAAAGGGTATGCCCTCCATTCAGGGGTTCATTGCTAGGACTAGGCGTGTTTACAACATTGAACTTTACATTGCCAGGAAAAGAGGCACATTAAATAAACATCTTAGTGAGTGGGAAAAGTTAATCAATATAATGTGATCTGATTAACAATTAAATATTGTACATAGATATAAAGATAAGTACTTTCTATCAACTTAGATATTGTCTACTGTAATAGTTTTTTCTTTTTTTGTCTTTTTGTTTTGTTTGTTTGATTGTTTTTCCTTTTTACTTTAAGTGTATTCTGTAAAATGAAAACTTCAAAGAAAAATTAATAAATTACAAAAAAGAAAAAACTTTGTGTGTAAACAAATCACTAAATCAATCGGTATTTTATCCGGGACGCGTTTCTACTTATCTTGTAAGACCAAACTCACGCTGTACTACACATTAATTTATCCTCATATTACTTATCGTAACTCCACGTGGTCTTCTACTTCCGTCTCTAATTTAAACAGAATTTACTATCTACAAGAGCGCGCTGTGCGAGCTATTACAAATTCAGAATATCGAGCACATACTGCTCCTCTATTCTCCAAATTGGAAATTCTCGATATTTTCCAAGTTAATACGCTCAATACTGCTAAATTTATGTTTCGTTATCACAATATAATAATCTGCTTCCTCCACTCGTCCGCAATCTGTTTATGACAAACAGTCAAGTCCATAAATATGACACGAGAACAGCTAGTAATTATCGAGTGCATTCCTGTCGTACGAACATCAAGAAATTCACAATTCTTTACCAAGGACCCAGAATCTGGAACTGTCTTCCTGCATCTGTTACAAACTTGTCAAGCTTTTCTATCTTGAAGAAAAAACTGCTAGAGTTTTTATCAAAATAGTTATTAAATTAATTTAGCCGCAACTTCTTTGCAGCCCTTATTCCTTATAATATTGTGATGTCGAGGTGGCCTCTCTGTATAAGCCTGGTGGTTTCTTGAGGTCTCCCCGCCTAGCAACCTGCTGTATCCTGTAAAATTTGCAGCCAAAAAAAAGGCTAATAAATGATGATGATGATGATGATGATGATGATGATGATGATGGCGATGATGCCAAACCCATCAGAGTGATTCTATTTATAAGTTATACATAAACACCTTGTAAGGGATGCCAAACTCCTTCTGAGGGATTCTATTTACAAGTTGTTATACATAAACACCTCATTATAATGGATGCCCATTCTATTCTAAGTCTTTCTGAGGGATTCCACTTATGCTCCAATCATTTCAAAAGTTCAAAATTCCCCCAGGCAACCATGCAGGCATTTGAACTTTTTGAGTCAAGCCAGATCAAATTCCAATTACATATATAAGCCCAATGTGGTGGTCAAATGCCCCTCCCAAGGAAGCATGTTTTGCATGTAGTGAATTCGAAAAAAAATTTTTGCATGTATTTTGGGGTCTGGATTATTATTAATGTTGGATGTTTTGGACATTTAAAAGTAAGTTGGGCATATTTTTCCCTGCTATCAGAGAAGGCGTATTTCTACCAATGATAATAAGAATATTGCTGACGGTGACTGACGTTTCAACAACGGGTGTCTAGAAAACGAAGACCTACGACCCATAAGACGACAACCTAGAATGCAGGTGGGAATGGGGTTAACAGTTAACAGATATTTGGCCAAAAAATTAGTAGTTAACTGATAAATGAAAAGTTAACAGTTAAAAAGACATCAAATGCTGACCTTATTTTAAATACTTTAAAGTGGGGTACTTATTACTTATTATTATTGAGGTGCAACATTGTAATGTATTTTGGGATAGGCTAAAACACCTTTAAAAGCAGTCGAACTACATGTGAAGTACTATGGCGGACGGATGTGTGTATGCGAGCTCTGAAGCCGTAAGCGTCGAGCAACGTGAATTCTCCTTCGAGCAAGATATTCCAGACCCTGCAACATATGTCTTTTCTCTCAACACGGACGAGTTAAAAGCAGAACTGATCAAGCGTGGATTCAAACGAAGTGTAAATAAAAGCGTATTGATCGATCGACTACGAGCCGCCATTCAGTCCCAAGACCATGGCGAAGAGCCGATTGAGAGGAGCAGCTCTACGCCGCAAAATGTAACAATTGACGCAAAATGTAACATTAATGCGAAATGTAACAACTTTTGAGGCGAAATGTAACATCAACCCGAAATGTAACAACTTTTGACGCAAAATGTAATAACTTTTTAACGCGAAATGAAACAATATTTTTAACGCGAAATGTAACGAGAAAAATGTTACAGCCCTGAAATAACTGAGAGGTTTGGACATTAGCCTTGTAGATAAAGTGTAAATTGTCTGGTGGTTACAAAAACAGTTTATTTATAAAGTTTTCTTATAATGTCAAATAAACTTACAAAACGTTTTTCGGTAATAGTAACTAAATCCTGAAACAGTAGAACGAATTGTTGTTTAGTATATCTTTCTGTACTTATGTGTGACGCTTAAAAGAAAGTTGGCGTTACATAATCCAGGATGTATTAGATGGGTTAGGATGGTACATTTTTAGCATACTCCCTCTAGCTAGGGAGTTGAGCCCGTATGAAATCGAGGCGAGTATTGATTACTGATCATTCTTTTCACACTTTCATTGAGTGAAGACGCTTTCTGTTTTTATCACACGCTGTCTGTTTTTACCCACCTCCTCCCCTTTTCCCTAAAAGGAAAGTGTGGCAGAGCAGTCATCCGACTGCGTGAGATAATCAACAATGTTAAATGGGCGTTGGCACGGTTAAGTTTTAAGGCAGCAGGACTGGGTTGTATGAAATTTCTCACATTTACTGGAAGTCCGTTAAGAAATGAGAAATTTCATATCTATGTTACTGACTACGTTCAAAATTTTCTTTTGAAAGATTACCTAACTTAACTTTTACTTTTAACTTGCATTTCAATTGCTGATTGGTGCGTGTTTCCTACGGTGTTATTGTTTACATTTCTATTCATATTCTTTTCGCATAACTTGGGATATTTTCTATACGTTATGTTTAATAAGTTAGCGTTGTTGTTATTGTCCATACTGCTATTCCAAGGTTATACATGATTTGTAACTTTATCACCTGTTTTACGACCTTTTGTAAGTTTATTTGACATTATATTGTGCGTCAAAAAGTTGTTGCATTTTGCGTTAAAAAGTTATTACATTTTGCGTCAAAAGTTGTTACATTTCGCGTTAATGTTACATTTTGCGTCAATTGTTACATTTTGCGGCGTAACAAGCTCGAACGCTGACATGGATGAACGTTTAACGGCCCGGTCTTGTTCTAATAACAAGCTCATATTTGAAGATTTATATTCTTTTATTGAGGCTAAAGTTAAACAAGTCTGCCGCTTTGAAATTGAGAATCTTAAATCTGAAGCGAGCGCGTCTTATGCAAATGAGCTGGTCATCACTGCAGAATGAGAACAAAGATCTTCAAGACAAATTGCAGGAGTTGCCAGTCCCACCACACCATTTTGAAACAGGAAGCTAATTCGCTGCGTGAAGAGAACAGGAGTCTTTTAACAGCCATCCGACTTATGAGCAACGAACTTCAAAACCCGAATGAAGGAGAGTGTGTTCCTGTTACTTCCACTAATTTGCATGAGCAAATATCTGAATGTGTGAACGGTGTGTCACCAATGCATGACAAGGAATCCCCCTGGGTATCTGTAAACAACGCGAAGTCCAAACAGAGGAGCAAAAGAAAACGCAGCAAAAAGGCAAAGCTTACAGCGACCGCAAACCCAGCCGAACCACATCGGCCGCTTATTGAGCAAAACCAATCTAGCCATTAAAATCGGGAAACTCCCAATGCGGCACAGCAAATTCAGAATCCTTCTTTTTCGGTCTCTTGTGGAACTCTATCAACAGATCATATGGCCAAAAAGAAGCTTGTCTTCATAGCTGGGGATTCCATTATTCAACACGTCCAGGGTTGGGATCTATCAACGAATGATAAGGATGTTGCAGTCAAGTCCTTCTCGGGTGCTCGAATTGCACATATGGATGATTATTTAAGGCCTCTTCTTAGAAAGAAACAGGATGAAATCATCCTCCATGTGGGAACTAATAACATACGCGATGAAAGCCTGCGTAGCGTGGATGAGGGCATTGTCAACCTGGGTAACTCAGATCCAACACGTTTCCCCGACTACACACCTTGCAATTTCACCTCTGCTACCCAGGTCAGATAACTTAGATTTTAACGACAAAATCAAGGAGGCCAATAAGGTCTTAAAGTCGTTTTGTAGCTCTCGTGGGCTTACATTGCTCCGCATTAATAATATAGACTTCACTTGTTTAAATCGTAGGGGTGTTCACCTTAACCGCACAGGGTCTTCACTTCTTTTAAATTTTTATGCGGATTATCTCTACTTGACTATTTGGTAATGAGCCTGCTATCCCTACCTCGTCCCGGTCTAATGAAAATTCTAACCGTGAACGTATATCTGAATCAGACCTAACTTTCAGTCTACCCAAACTTAAGGGCTTCAAAATTGCATTTGTCAATATCGTTAGTTTGCCTAAATACCTGGACGAGCTTTTCCTAAGAATGCAATCTCAGACGTTAGACTTGCTAGCCTTAAGTGAGACTCGTCTTGACAACACCTTCACTGATTCTGCAGTGTCCATAGATGGTTAGACACTTATTAGGCGTGACCGGTGCAGAGGTGGTGGTGGTGTTGCCAGGTACGTTCGCAACGTCATCGACGTTAAAATCAGATCCGACCTCTCTGATCCAGATCTTGAGTTCTTGTGTATTGAAATAAAAAACCCAGAGCCAAGCCATTTCTTATTTCAAACTAGCATAGACCTCCGAATTCTCCAATTGAGCTCTTTGATAAGTTTGACGTCCTTCTGGCAAAGATTGAAGCTGAAAATGTTGAATCAAATATAATAGGTGACATCAACTGTGACATGATGGCAGTTACCCCTGCTAATGAAACTAGACACCTAATTGAACTCTCTGAATTGTATCAATATACTCAAATTGATTAAGGAGCTTACACGCGTCACTTCAAGTTCTAAATCACTTATCGACTTATTTCTTGCCAATGAGGCGGTCAAATTTGCTACATTAGGTGTATCTCCTATTGGTTGCAGCGATCATAGTTTGATCTATGTTTCTTGTAAATTAACATGCCCTAGGTCGATCCCGAGAATCATTGAATCGCGACAATATAAAAATTTGTGCCTGATGACTTTGTGAATGACATGGCGCTGGTTCCGTGGGACACAATTGAGCAGATTGATAACCCTACTGGCGCATGGGAGGTGTGGAAACAATCATTTCTAGCAGTAGCCAACCTTCATGCACCTGTTAAGAAAAGGAGAGTTAGAAACTCTAATGCTCCCTAGCTCACCCCTGAGATCAAACGATTGAAGTGGGAAAGAGACAGAATAAAGCGTATCGCAATTGTCACCAGTAATCAGTTAAAATGGGCAGAGTACAGGAGACTTAGGAATCGTGTAAACCATTGTATTAAGGCCTCCAAAAAGAATTAATATCATTCGTTCTTCGAGGATAATGTTGGGAAAGCTAAAGCGACTTGGAATGGAATAAATACATTATTATCGCGAAAGAAAAACTTTGCTCCGGTGTCAAAATTGATTATTGGTGACAAGGTGATAACTGACCCTCATGAGTCAAGCAACGCCTTTAACAGGCATTTTATCGATATTGGCCCTAACTTAGCGGCGAACATAAATCCCCCTCGAGTCAGTTTTCGTGATTTTGTAGAACCGTGTGTTAGTACCTTTGAGCTCGAATTACTGACTATTGATGGTCTGCGCAAACTTGTGAATGATATTCCTGTGGGCAAGGCTGATGGCCTCGATGGTATTCCAACTTGCCTCTTAAAGCTTTCATTTCCATTCACTGCGTCTTCCCTTACACATATTTTTAATTTACCTATTTCTAAGGGAATCATTCCCAAAGACTGGAAGAGTGCTAGAGTTACTCCAATTTTCAAAGCTGACTTGAAAGTTGACGCAGCCAATTACAGGCTGCCAAACTCTTTGAAAAAACCATCTTTAATCAGGTTTATTCATATTTAAATGACAATAAGAGCTACTTTCGAAACATCCTTCTGGCTTTAGACCTATGCACTCTACCCTTACAGCTCTTATTGACATCACAGACAACTGGTATCTCAATATCGACGATGGTTTGACAAATAACATTCTTTTTATTGACTTAAAAAAGGTTTTTGATACTATTGACCATGACATCCTTCTGTCAAAATTGGAACTGTATGGGTGTAAAGGTGTTAGCCTCAATCTTTTCCGAGACTACCTCTCTGATAGAACTCAGGTTACAGTTATAAACAACGTAAATTCCGAAAACTAGCTTCGTAAGTTGTGGGGTGCCTCAAGGTTCAATCCCTGGCCCCCTACTATTCCCATTATACATTAATGATCTCCCTAACTGTAACCTTGTTTTGGATGTGAGAATGTACGCCGATGACACTAATCTCACGTTTGCCTCCAAAGACCCTAATGAGTTGTTTACATCCCTGACTCATGATTTGGGCTATCTGAAGCAATGGCTCGATTCTAACCGTCTAAGTCGTAATGTCCCGTTTTTGCTCCCTAGCGATCCATACATATCCCTTGACGGGCATTCAATTGAAAGAGTCAACGGTTACAAATGCTTAATCATTCAGGTTGATGAAACACTCTCGTGGGAGGCTCACATCTCCGAAGTCACCGGTAAAGTTGCAAAAGCCTAGCTGCCCTGAGGAGGCTAAGACCAATATGTCCCCAGAGTACCCTTGTCACTATTTACAAGTTATTGATTCTTCAGCATCTAGATTATTGCAGCGCTGTCTGAGGCTGTATCGGTAATGGTCTCAGCCAAAAACTAAAGAAACTACAAAACAGGGCTGCACGCATAATCACAGGGTCTAGCTGGGATGCCAGCTCTGCCCCGATTCTTCATGCCCTTAATAGTCCGAGATAGCGAACCAATCAGATTGCTTAAATCACCAAGATCACTGAGTGTGTATATACTAATCAACAAAAATTCACCTCCTAGCGAGTGGATAATGTGTGAGCTAGGTGTTTTTCCCATTTTTTAAAGAACGATCTTTTAAAAGTCGACAAAATCCTAGGGCTGACTTTTTTTAAGGCAAGAAAAGACTTGAAATGATTCAATACAGCGTTTTTCAATTTACTGTAGCTCATTGAGTTTTGTGCTCTATGAATTGTTTACAGGTCCCGTGTATTCGCGTAGAAAAGCCGTTTCGTGAACTCAGCGTTTTCTAACAAGAAAGTTTTGGCTCAAAAATCGAAGTTTATTTATGACAAACAAATTTAAAAGGAAATTAAAATGTTTGCAGGAATTCTACGTTTCAAGTAAACAGGAAAAAGAATGATACAGGAAGAGGACGTCTTACCTCGATCAACCGAGCAGCCATTTTTGTCAGCACTTCGTGCGAAGAACGACACAACAAACCCTTTTGGCTATAAACTTGGCGAGTCAACAGAAAACAAAGCTCTACTTTTCTTCTCAGGTAAGAAAACCGGTTCAAAATTTTAAAGGTTCCATTTAAGCCATTACGCTGTTGTTTGCGAAATGATAAACTTGTGAATTGCCATGTTTGGAAATTCTGCAAAGATCTATTTTTAAACTTACGAGTGATTTGATCTGTCAATCAAATCGTACTTTTTAATGTTTTCCTCTCTGATTTTGTTGAGATCACTTCGTGTGTATATACTAAAACAATTATTCTTTTCAATCTCGGTGAATAGTGGCTTTGGGAATATTTACCTCACCGCTTTCGCGGCTCGGTAAATATTTATCCACTATTCACCTCGATTCCAAAGAATGATTGTTAAATAGTCTGAGATAGCGAACCAATCAGATTGCTTAAATCACCAAGATCACTGAGTGTGTATATACTAAAAAAACGTATCGAGCGGTTTTTTGAATAATGCGAAATTTGTAGGTATGGACCAAATTACGAGCAAAAACTGTAACAAAAGCAGCTGGATGAAGGTTAATAAAATTCTTGTAACTCGCGCTCACCCAGAGCAATCCCCTCGTTTTTTGTACGTAGTTTGCAATGAAATCAAACCACTATGAGATGAAGCCGCGTTTCCAAAGCTTATCATGTTCTTAAAACTGATTTTAGCTAATTGTGTGGATAGCATGCTATTTCACCGTTTTTATGATTCTTATAACTTTGTTTCAAGAGATTTCCAAAACACTCCCAAAGAATTTGTTCAAACTTTGCCATAATTAAGGCAATTATGGCAGGTACATACTCTCTTAAGAGATTTCTTAAAAAAAAAAGTCTTGGTACAGAGAAACGCAAAGATGAAAAAAAAAAAACGGAATGGCGTCATTCCGTTTCCATGGCGACTCCGATTGCAATAAAACCCAGATCATAAGAAATTTTCATCTTTATATAATACAGTTGTGGTAACCTTTCTTCCATATATTTACTCATGCCGACGTAGTTAATGCTCAAGCTTGGGAGGTATTCCCCCTAAAAAATCCAGTCGAGGCACCTTAAGAGCTAATTTCGCAAAAAATATTTATCAGCAATGAAATCAAATTGTTTTATATTATTTCCGAATGATATCTGTTGTTCTTATCAAAGCTTCGGAGCCATCGCGTCAAAAACGAAAAGTTCGTCATAGCTCAATGCGCCTGTATTAATGACGAAGCCTCCTTAAAGTTTTGTTTGGTTAAGTGAGAATTGCATAAAAAGCGAAAAATGTTGACGTCAAAATATCTTGAATCGATAGCTAACAATACCAGCACTTTTTTTTGTTAAAGAAGGTACCATTTTTCAACTTTTCACTTTACCGATTTCCGTAATATGAAATATGAATGCAGAAACTTCACATCTTTGCTGTTTTCAACAGTTAATTATTTTTATGAAAAAAGTAGAATTGCCTGAACCTTTTCCTGATTCAACTTCCATTAAAAAATGGTTAAACTTCAGCTTTCTCTCGCATGCTCAAAAGTACGGCGTAAAAAAAAAAAAAAACCAAAGAGGAAGCAGGAAGAAAGAAGACTGAGCTTTTATATATGGGCCGACCACCATTCTAGAATAATTGAATACTCACAACCGGCTGAAAAAGAGCCAAGTGATTCATGTTTTATTAAAGCATCTCTTCACAGTAGTATAATTAGTTTAAAACTAACCACGTTTTAAAGAAAGCATAAAACCTGCGCTTTTTATTACGAATGTAAATTGTTTGATAATACATTATTTTCTCTTGCAATACGCTACTGAGAGAGTTCACCTTTTCAATTTTGAAACCTACGCAAAAGTCCCCTTGCATCGTTTAACACCCGTTAGAGACATTCACTTAACATGACTGCAAAAGCTTAAAAACACTTCGGACGTATTTTCATTTCGGAACTCTTGACAGAGAGCCAGTTATTTTTCCAGTGGTACCAGTTCATTCCTGGGCCGGAATTCACCATACCGGGACTGTAAACACCATTCAGATTGGAATTGTAGCAAGAATTGTACCACCAGCCGCCTTTCTTATGAAGGGCACAGTCGTAATTGTCTGACTTATCATTATCATGACCCCTGGTGGAAAATGACATACCACGATGATTATCAAGGGAATCTCCAGCAGTGCCTAAAATAGAAATAGAGATTTTTAATGTTTTCTCGGACATTTTTTTTGCAGAGAGATATTTGCATCTACTCCCCAATAATTTAACTTTCTGTAGTTTTTACTTCTCGCTGTCCAAATTGAAATAAATCAAACGATAGCTTTTCAATTGTTGCAGTTTTTCTGTGTTATAGTTCTTGTCGCTAAAAAAATTGCCAATCGACAGCATTTTTTTTTTTTCGCAAACTGATTCACTTTCAATCATGGTAGTTAACTAACCTGAATAACTTCCCAAACTCAGCTGATATTTTGCTCTCTCACTTGTCACATAAAATGAGCTGTACTCTGCAAATGCAGTATTTCCATGATGGTCTTCCAAGTCGACACGGAGGTTATAAGCACTGCTTACAGTCAGACGATGAATCTTGTCCAAACCGAGCCAAAACTCACCGTCCAGATTACCAAATCCATTTTTGTAATCATTCCAACCGCGGAAGAAATCTACAGAGCCATCTCGCCTCTTCTGAAACACCGTCCAACCTCCACCGGCAGTTTTTTGATCACAGAACACTTCAAATTCACCCAAACCATCAGGATTGATTTTATACACTCCACTGATCTTGTTACCGCTTTTATATACTTCGGCACAGTCCTTGTAAACTGAAGCTGATGGTACTAAAAGATTTTACATAAGAAGGTTTCGTTTTTTATCATATCAGTATAACTATAATAGATTTCTGTCGTCGGCAAACAAGTTGAATGCTATTCAAAAGATGACTTGTGGATATCGTTGACATAAAAAGACAGTGAAGGTCCTAGAACAGAACCTTGTGGGACACCACAAGTCATAGGTTGTTTGTTAGAGATAGCAGGTCCAATTTGAGTTGACTGAACACTGTCGAAAAGATAAAAACGAGAAAATCGTTCACGATGCCTCTTATACCGTAATGATGTAGTTTTAGGAGCAGGATTGAGTGGACAACCTTATCAAACGCTTTCTTTTAATCAATGAATATACCACACGAGCATATAGAGTTTGTGTCAAAGAAAGTGCGGGGTTATAGGGACAGGTTCACGGTTAAGCGCATGCTCATTAATTGAATTACTTTTTTTCCAGTTTATGATCTATCGGTTAACAATTCCACTCACATGTATCTCAGCGATCTCAGAGTGTATTTCAAAGTACAAGTGTGTTTCAAAAAAACCTGAAGTAGGATGGAGGAGTACTAAAATCGCACGAAAAAAAATTAGTGGATTATGCCAACACTACCAACGTTGAATTTGTTGTTGACCCGAAGGTTTTATTCCATGGTTGATTAATTTACAGCTATTTGCAAATATTTAAGTTGTTCAAGTGTTTTAAACAGATTTCAACACGGTTTTAATCAGCTTTTAACCTGCTTTTAATGGTGTTTTTTAAAACATTAAAAGCAGGTTAAAACACGAATAAAAGCAGTTTAAAACACCATTAAAAGCAGGTTAAGACACCATTAAAAGCAGGTTAAGACACCTTTAAAAGCAGGTTAAAATACCATTTAAAACATAATTTATGAACTGTTTTTTATATTGTTTCTAAATACAATACATTCAAACAGTTTTTAAAATATATTAAAACTATGTAAAAAAATAGTGTTTGGTTTGGTACGGGAAGTCGGGAAGAGGAAGGAACCTTCGCTTTCTCTTTCCCGACTTATCTAGGAAAGATCGAAGCGACTCTGCTAGCAGGGTAGTGAATAACGAGCCGTTAGGCGAGTGAAATTTGAGACAATTTTAAAATATCACGAGTGGTATTTATGCAAAATATCACGTAATCATGCTATTATTTGTTTATACCACTACATACAAAACGTTTGTAATTTTCACATGCAGGCGTTTCAAATGGAGCTGAAATACCACTGCTCTAAGCCAATCAAATTGCAGAAATTTCTCATGTAGTAGTCTAAGGCGGGGAAACTAGAGGTGGTGTCGCAAAACGTCGGCTGTTTTCTCAGGCTAATAATGTATAACATCATCGAATTCGAAAAGCTCCTTTTTTTGTCCGCTTTCTCGTAAGCGAGATTCCGGCCCTTTCAAAAATCTTCACTCTTAAAATATACCTCTTTGGTGATGGCTTTAACCGGATACGTGTGAACCGTAGGCGAAACTGGAGGAAAAAAACTCCCTTTTCAAAAGTACCCCGATTAGTGTGGACGAGGCGTTAATCAAGTACGCAAATTATCTTCAGCTCATAACCGGAGAGCCCGTAACTAAAGAGGCCTCTTCCACAGTCGTCCTACAGGTCATCGTCTGTATGATGTATGACATCATCGTTATCGAAATCTCCGTTTTCGTCCGTCCAAACGAATACGATAAGCCGGCGTTTTTTGAAAGAACTCCACGGCTCTGGGGACCGTTTTCGAAAACAATTCAAACCCTGCGGATCCGGACGGAAGGCTTAAAACGAAGAAAAAAGTCTACATTTTCAAAAATGTCCGGATACGTGTGGATGGTGCCTAAGAAGATAAGAATTGTCCTTCTGGTGGCAAGGACTTAATCCCTGTTGTCCATATTAAAGATGGATCTTATTATTAATAGTGATTAATGAAAATTGCCATAGTAGAGATGAAACCGCATAAAAAAGGTTGAGAGATTTAAATATATAAATGAGCTATTAAGAGGCATTTTACCAACCTGTTGCGTTTCTAATTGCCCTAATTTCTTCCTTTATTTCTGCCAGTTGTTGCTCGATTTTCTTGCTGCACGGTCCTGCGCTGTGGTTGATGTCATAGCTAAAAGAATTTACCACGTTGGCGGTTGTTGCCATGAAATAGGCAAGCAAAATAACTGCGAAGTAATCTTTCATCTTGCGCCGATTTCTTGTTTGTATCAAAAGCTTTAAAGTACCCGGCGTGAGCCCAATACTTTTTCAAACTTCTAACGGGGCTGCTTCTATGGGGCTGCTTTTATACCGTGTGATTATCTTCCTTGGATGAAAATTTACTACCGCGATGGAACATGAGCCTACTACCGTGTTGGAACGTTTTCTTCCTTGATATTATTAAATTACCTATTTGAACATTTCCTACTATGATATCAAGTTATATGTACTACCGGGTTGAAACAATAGCGAGCTTACGCAACGACGAATTCACTTTTTGGGTACGTGATGTTTTCGCTGCTGTTGCCGTCGTTGTTGCTTAAGCCCCCTTTCTTAACTTGTAACTTCCGTGCTGAAACATTTTTTTTCTTAAAATCAATTTCCTGTCGTCATGGCAGATTTTCTACCATTATAACAATTAACTATCCTATCATTATAACACTGTGTTAGGATTCAAATTTCTACAATGTTATTAATGACATCAATTTTTTACAGCCGATGGAACATTTTCTGCTTAATAATATCAATTAACAACCATGATGGATATTTTAAACTTACCGTGAAGGTGTTTGAAGTATTTGTACCTTTGTTTTGAGCTGCTTTTATCTGCTTATTTTCTATTTTGCGAAATTCTCGAGCTAAATCTGACGTTTACCCTTTTACCACCGTCTTAAAACCCTTTTTAACTTTGACATTAATTCACTACCGTGTCAGAATAATGTAAACTTCCGCTTAAGCCTCCTCTTAGCTATAGGTCCATATACCTGTAACCAAAAAAATACATCCGGATATAAGCCTTATTCTAGTTTGTATTAAAATGAATTTGATTTTTTACGACGTTACGTTTTGAAAATTAAAAAAGCGAGTAAATTCAAAAAGTATTCTGATCAGCACTACAGTGATACCCCGGTAACTCTGAAGGGAAACGAAAAACAGGTCGAGTTAGCAAGGGTTTGATATAACGGGGTCGATTGCAGAATTCAATTTGCTATGTTACTGACTTTTCAGCACTTCAGTTTAAGGTACAGTATTCATACTTATTTCATCAGAAACGAAACATGATTAGGCATATTTTACGATAAAACATGATCTGCTCGATTCGAGGACCATTACCCTTATACAACAAAAGGAGCTTATGGGGTGGCATCCGAGTGGAAATTAAAGAACCAGAACTCGAGCTGAAGGGGTAAATTTCAGTGACTTTTTTTATAAAGGGAAAGGAAATTTAGTTCGAGTTATCGGGGAGTTCGAGTTATCCGAGTTCGAGTTATCGGGGTTCTAATGTGGCTTGTTTTAAAACGCCTTTTTAGTCCCGTTATAAGCGCACCCGAACAAAAGGCCCCCTAAAACCTTACTTTTCGAAGTTGTATAAGCCCAGGGCTAATAAGCTAAAGTTCAAGGTATTTTTTAACTTGAAATCATTTTACTTCCTTGGTGTCACGTGCTGTAAAGTGGAAATATCAAATCACGGTAGTAATAGGACATATTCAATAGTAAAACCCGAGAAGAAAATTTACTTCCATCACACGGCAGTGAAGTGTTTTCAGGGTATAAAAATGTTTCTTTTCGGTATTAAATTCGAGATAAATGTTCTATGGCAATAGCTAATGGGGGTCGAGATAGAATTTACTCAATTACGGACAATAGCAAAAATCATATCCTCCGTCGTATTAAAAATTTTTATCAGCTAATGCTGAATACGTTACAGGTCACGTTAACGAACACGAAATGTGGTGACAAATCACTGACAAATTATGTTAAGACCTGGGCCAAACGTCGAACTTTTCATGAGACGAATCAAACTAAGTGAGTTAAGTTCAAGAAAGTTCGACGTCTGGCTCAGTGAAGTTCGCCTGCTCTATATGATAATGTACTAACAAAGTGATGAGTTATTAGTGGTGAACAGGCGCCGATTACTTGGAGCCTCCATCTCCCATAGAAGCCCTTGGAGTCAACCCTTTTCCGACGAAAAATTATCTATAGAAATAGCTTTCGCGGAATATTTTTCACGCCTGCTCAGTAATATCCAATCAGAGCAGAGCTGAGTCACAGAAGCGGGATTTGAAGGCGGTAGCGAGCGTGGAAGAGTTATCTGATGATAATTCTGATCTTCTATCGGGTTAAAAATACCTGCTTAAGGCCTAATAACAAAAAGAAAAAGGTGATACACTCATGCGACGTCTTCACGTTTGCTTGTAATAACATAACATAACATAACATAAAACTTTATTTAAACTCGAATTTTAGAGTAGCTAACAAGCTAATATCTTCGAGCTGACACTACATAAAAACTATATAGAAAATATATATATACATTAAATGCAAGGAAAGAAAATATCATTTACAATTCACAATTTTAAGTTTTAGTATGTCAGGCAAAAAGAATCTACATGAAGGTAACATCCTGTATTTTAGTCTTAAAGTCTGCAAAAAAACTGGTACGAAAAAAGTCCGGCAGTGCATTCCACTGCTTAGCTGAAAAGTAAGAAAAGGAGTTAAGACCATAGGTAGTTGTTTTAGGTTTACTTAGTGAAAGAATGTAGTTGCCACGAAGATCATAGGAAGAGGACCGGAGTGAAAACATATTCTTCATATAAGTAGGAAAATGAGTGAAAAACAAACTCTTATATAACAGAATGAGGAAATTTTGAATGCGTTTGTTAAACAAAGAAGTAGAGCTGACTTTTGAGAGAAGAGTGTTGTATGGAGACGAGTAATCTCCAAGTATAAATCTAAGTATTCTTTTATTTAAAGCTTCGAGCTTATCCGCATCGCGCGCTCCACAAAAGTGCCAGACAGAGGAGCAATAATAAAAGTGAGGTAAAATA